AATCACGTCTTCGCCTTCCCACGATCCTCAGAAGTACCCGAAACCACAAAATAAAACTGTAAGCCAAAGCTTAGTGAGTTCCCCCAAAGTACCACCACAAAAACATATAATTAAACATATATCGGGTCCACAACCTCCTGGTTGGATTAATCATGGCCCACAACCTTACGGTTGGAATGCCCAATACATAACGGGTCCACAACCTCTTGGTTGGATTACCCCCAACCCACAACTTTCCAAAAGGCTTCATTGGCTTTTAAGGAACCATAAAAATCCTTACTTTATGGACATGCATGTCAAATGCATATCTCTCCCAAAACTAATTCAGAAAGGGGTAAGAAATTGAGTTAAAACTTCATGCATTGCACTAAACAGCAAGGGAGTCTAGATCTAGAACATATGACGGCCAAAGGACCTCAAGGAGTGATAAAGTTACAAACTTTATCAAAACCAACCATTCATAATAACATGCCATAAAGAAAAGGGCTTAAAATCTAGATCTACAAAGGATGAGCCAAAAAGATGAGAACTTAGAGGCTTACAAGGGTCTAGAAGATGCACCAAAAGATGAAGACAATCTTGCTAGTTGATCCTTTTCTCAACAAAGTCTTCCTTCAACGTTCAAGTGACCAAAACACCATCAAAGAACAAAAAGGAAAAATGGAGAGGCTATGGTTTCGTTAAGGGAGGATGGAGGTTGAAGAGAATGGCCTTACCCTAGTGTTAAGGCCCTTAAATACGAAGGAAGCCCTAAAAATCACGTGCTTGGGCTACAACGTTTACCACGTCATGACACCCTTCATGTCACGTCGTGGTGTCCATCAAAAACATGCGCTCTTTATTTGGCATGCCATGTCGTGGCACTCCATGCACCACGTCGTGACATATGGTTTCCTCAAAAACCATGCATTTGACTCATTTATATCATCAAGTGATCCATTATGGGAAACGAGTGTTACACGATCCACCTCTTTAGATTCCTTTGGGAGAAATATAGAGAGAGAACTAGGGATATCTATATTGTGTTTATCAACCTAGAGAAAGAATATGACAATATACCCCGAAAGCGATTTAGAGTGACCTGGAAGCTATATAGATTTCTAGAGAGTTCCCCAATCCACACACAACAACGATGAACCACATCCCTCCTAATTCCCCTTTGCTCATTTCCATATGTTAGTACACCCCATCAATGACCAGTTTTGGACAACTTGAGATGTTCAAGTTCTAAAACAACTTTACTGATAAACCTCCTATGCATTTCCAACATTATTGTTGTTTGTATTTTCAAATACTTTGGGTTGTTTTATTTTCGGGTGAGACAAAAAAAATACATGGGGTTGCTAATACTTTCAAATTGATTTTCGGTTGTTTTTTTTTTGTTTTCCAACAAGTAAAAAAAGGTGTGTCTTTGTGATACTTAATATTTTGTTGGATTTTATTACCGACAAGCAAATAAACAAGAGGGACAGATTCCGACATACCATAAATAAATTATTTTATTCTTAGAGCATCTCCAATGGTTAACTTATCTTATGACATAAAAATATTGTCAACTCACCATTCCACTAACTTTAACCTCTAAATAAATAACACCTCTAATGGTTACCCTCTTCCAATAACTTCAAAAAAAAATCTATCCTTATTTATCTAAAATGTTCTATAAAACTCCCTCATTTAAGTCGTCGGTTTTTAAACATATATTATATATTAAATTTCACAAACAAACAAAAATATAAATATAACTATGTTAGGTTTTTATTTTATATACATAAAATACGAACGTCATAGTTATAAAAATAAAAAATGGTTCAAAATGCAATATAATTGATATAAAACTTATATTTTAAAAATAAATTGTGATTAAATATTTTATAGAAATAATTGATTAGTAAATATATAACAAATATTTAAAACTAAAACATAATGAAAATATATTGAGTATTCAATATATATTGAATGGTCAATAAAAAAACAAATAAACTCATTACTCCAATGGTAATAAGTAATCAATTAAAGAAAAGATACACTATTACAAACTATGTGTTTGTGGCTTAAAAGAGATTAGACCACATTCCAAACTAAATATACCATTTTTGGTAATTATTGGTTATGGGTACAAAGCACCTAATTATCATGCTATGAGGGTTAATTTATTGACAGATGCAAATAAGTCGGTTTCATTGTTAATTGGTTCGCTTAGAAGTCAATGGGTTGATATTGGTTGCACAATTATGAGTGAATGGGTGGAGGGATATTACGCAACGACATTTGATTAATTTCTTGGTTTATTGTCTGAAAGGGATATCGTTTCTTAAATCTATTGATGCATCTTATATAGAGAGCAATGCTACAAATTTGTGTAATTTGTTTGCTGAGATTGTTGAAATGGTAGGAGAAAAAAATTTCGTTCAAATGATAACTGATAATAATGATAATTACAAGCTTGTTGGTACTAAGTTATGTGAAAGATATCATTCTATTACTTGGTCTTCATGTGCAGCGTATTGTCTTAATCTTGTATTAAAGGATCTTTCGGAATTGGATAATGTGAAAAGTTTGGTCAATCTTGCATCGAGGGTTAATGTTTTCATTTATAATCATAAGTGGCCCTTGAATTAGTTAAGAAGAAGACTCGGTTGGAAAGAAATCATACGTCTAGGTGCTACTCGGTTTGGTACCGCGTTCATTGCATTGCAAAGTTTGTATGACCATAAAGCAGATTTACAAGCAATGGTCATATCTAACGAATTTAAGAAGATGTTGAAAGTAGGAAATGTGGTTGAATGTAAATAGATTGTCTTGAATGAAATCTTTTGGAAGAATTGTTTGATTACAGTGAAAATAATGACTCCTTTGTTAAAGCTTTTGCGGTTGTGTGATTCAGATGAAAAACCTGCAATTGGTTATGTTTACGAGGGAATGCGTCGGGCGAGGAGAGGGGTTAAGGAATTGTTTAAGAAGAAGAAGGAATTATATAAGCCTTACACTAACATAATTGACAGTCGTTGGGATAGGATGTTAAGAAAAGTATTTATTGTGCGGCTTATTGGTTGAATCCCATTTTTCAATATGATCATGCAAATCTTTGTAAGAAGAATGAGGTGTTTCAAGGCGTTCTTGAAATGGTTGAGAAGACTTTTAAAGGTGATGACGTTTTAAATATTGCATTGAATTTAGGCAGGTTTCGTGATGTTGATGGTACCTTTGGTAGATCTAGTGTGGTTGCTTCTCGCAATCTTACTCCTCCATGTATGATTTAAATTTAATGTGTTATTATTATATACAAAATATTGTATTTTCTAATATATTTTTTGCTAACTATATCTTTTGTAGATGAGTGGTGGAAGTTATTTGGCGAAGATATTCCGGTTTTGCAAAAGTTTGCTATTAGAATATTAAGTCAAACCGCATTTTCTTCGGCTTGCGAACGTAATTGGAGTGTATTTGAAAGGATTCACACGAAATGGAGGAATAGGTTGGAATACCAAAGGCTAAATGATCTTGTATATGTTCATTACAACTTGCGTTTACAAAATAGGTATGGTATCTTGCTAAGATATACTATGCCATAAAATTACCAGGTTATATTTGAGATTTTTGTGAATGTTTTTGTAGACTGAAGGTTGATATGAGGTCTTACGATCCTGTTGACTATGAAAATATTGATAAGACGGGATTTTGGGTGGTTGAAGAAGAGCGGGAAGGAGAACTTAATTATGATGATTTGGAAAATATGCTTGATGAGCAAGAGCATGAACCGGCTTCTCAATCACAAGGTTACCATGTTGATCATGAAGTTGATAGTGAATTTCAATTACTAAGTGACCGCGAGATCGATGCTTATAATACTCCAATTTCTCAAGATCCATGATTTGGTTTGGTCGTGACGCGTTTGGATCCGTCTAAAACTATGTTTTGTTTTGTTATTTATACTCTACTAGTTGTGAGACTCATGTAGTACATGGGTTAATTTAAAAAAAAAATAGAGCTAAATATAAATGTCAAAATATTTAAGAACTTTGAATTTATAAGAAAATAAGAAAAAATAATAAATTATTATAATGAAAATATTTTTTTATCTTTTAAATTTAAACAAATAATTCAAATAAATAAAAGAAATGAATGAGCTTTAATTTTGGGAATTTTGAAATTAAAATGTAAATTTAATGAAATTGATATCTATTTATTACTACATTTATTGCAATTATTATATTAAAATATTATATGAAATTTAATAAATAGAAAAACTCATAAAATGATATGTAGAAAAAAAAATAATTCAAAATGACCACAAAATGACATTTGGAAAATTGAATAAAAGTGTGACAGGTGTAAAAAAAACTTTCATTTATTAGAGAGGATATGGTTGTATATTGTGTTTAGATTGATCTATAACATGTTTTGATATGTTTTTCAATGTTTAAACTTTGTGGACATCAAATTATTGGTTTTATATGTCAATGCAATATGCAGGAAAGTAAAAATATATGGAAAAAAAAAACAATAAATCGGGTTGACCCGGCGGTTCAACTGGTTGACCCGTAAACCGGTCATCACACCGGGTCAACTAAAAACCCGGGTTTTAAAACATTGAGTATGCTAAATATTTTTTAAAAATACCATATTCACCAACAAAACTCGATGATATTCAAGAAGCGTGAGGAACATTGAAGAGTTTTCTTTTTTATTTTAATTATTTAAAAGAAATAAATTGGTAAATAAATTTAAAAGTACTACATCCTTGTAAATGCATTTTCCAACCGCTATTTTTAGTAAAAGAACTCAACAAAACTCTCCTTTTGTTATGTGTGAAATTTTGGATAGGGACAATGTGCATTTCCGTACAAAGTCATCGCTGGTAGCCAGCCAGGGTACAATTAAGTTGAATGTGAAAAGGGGCAAAGACTAATAAGTTAACAAATTGTCAACCACCACTCACCTCATACCTTCTTCTCAACAATCTCTCCCCATTTATTGTTCCATGTTTCACACCACTTATGTTCCTTAATCTCCCTGCCATGAACAACAAACACCTTTCTTTTTATCATCTCCTCCTACTCTTCATCTTCCACCTCCAGCTCACACCTTCCGCCGCCGTTGATTTCATCATCAACTCCTTCAGTTCCTCCTCCATCTCACTTTATGGCAACGCCACTGTCCAATCCAACATCCTCACCCTCACAAACTCCACTCCTAGTCAAATTGGACGCGCTTTGTACCCAGAGAAGATCCCCACAAAGAATTCGTCGTCACTCCTCCCTTTCTCCACCTCCTTCATCTTCGCCATGGCACCCACCACAAACGTTCTTCCAGGCCACGGCTTAGTATTTCTGTTCACCCCAGTCACCGGGATTCAGAACACAGCCGCTGCTCAGAATCTTGGTCTGTTTAGTAGAGGAGTTGATGGGAATTCAAGCAATCATGTGTTTGGTGTTGAATTTGATGTGTTTAGAAACCAAGAGTTTGAAGATATTAATGAAAACCATGTAGGTATCGATGTCAATTCTTTAACGTCTGTTAATTCAACGGATGCTGGGTATTATCAAGATCAAGATGGGGTTTTTAGAGGATTACAGCTCAACAATGGCCGAAACTATCAAGTGTGGATTGATTACAAAGATTTTATGATTAATGTGACTATGGCTCCTGTCGGGATCAAGAAACCCACCAGGTGTTTGATATGTGTCCCGTTGAATTTATCCGATGTTTTTGAAGATGAAATGTATGTGGGATTTACTGCTGCCACAGGACAATTGATTCAAAGCCACAAGATCTTGAGTTGGAGCTTTAGCAATTCGAATTTCTCATTGAGTGATGATCTGATTACCGAAGGACTCCCTTCATTTGTGCTTCCTGGTAAGCCTATTTATCGATCAACAGGGTTCATCGTTGGTTTAACATTGGGTATACTCTTCCTTCTCATCACTTCTAGTTTTCTTGGTTTTATTTGGATCAAGAGAAAGAGAAGGATAGCAAAAGAGAAAGCAGATATGGAGGATTGGGAACTAGAATACTGGCCTCACAGAATCCCTTTTCAAGAAATCGATGTAGCAACAAAAAGTTTTTCCGATGAAAATGTGATCGGAATCGGTGGAAACGGGAAGGTCTACAAAGGGGTCATCGGAGGCACAGAAATCGCCGTGAAAAGAATCGCCCATGACAACAACGACGGCGTCAGAGAGTTCTTGGCGGAGGTCTCAAGTCTCGGAAGACTAAAACACCGGAATCTCGTCGGATTAAGAGGGTGGTGCAAGAAAGAAAAAGGTAGCTTAATCTTAGTTTACGATTACATGGAAAACGGAAGTTTAGACATAGTGTTATTCGATCGGAAAGATGACACCAAGATCTTGAATTTCAACGACAGAATGAGAATCTTGAAAGATGTCGCAAATGGGGTTTTGTATTTACACGAAGGGTGGGAATCGAAGGTTTTACATCGAGACATAAAGTCAAGCAATGTGTTACTCGACAAAGAAATGAACGCAAAATTAGGCGATTTCGGGTTAGCCCGGATGCACCAACACGGACAAGTTGCGACCACCACTCGGGTGGTCGGAACCGCCGGATACCTAGCGCCGGAGGTGATTAAAACCGGTCGCGCCTCCACACAAACCGACGTTTTCAGTTTCGGAATCCTAATTCTCGAAGTAATAACCGGGAAACGACCGATAACAGAAGGAACAATCGCTTTAGTCAATTGGGTATCCCAATTGATGGAACAGGGCAAGCTTATTTCCGCCATGGATGAGAAATTAAAAGGTGAAGGTGGCGAAATTGAAATTGACGTTGAGGAAGTCGAAATGGTGCTGCATTTGGGGCTATTGTGCGCACATCCCGATGCGAAAATGCGACCGACGATGAGACAGATTGTGAAGGTGTTAGAAGGGGAGAGGAGGAAGGAAGGAGATGAATCTGAAGGTGAAGGTGAAGAAATGGAGGTTTACTTGTTGGAGAAGATGAAATCAAAGGATTTGTGGACGAAATATGCGCAGACGTTGAGTTCAGGATCAGGGTCGTATTCGCATCCGAAGTTTGGGGAGGTTAGAGCTGGGATTTCTTCTTCAATGTCGCTTTCGTTAACTGATATTGTAGATGGTAGATGATAGATGAGTTTGAGTATAGATCGTAGAATGTTTTAGTTTTTGATTTTGATGATTTTGTGATATGGGTTTTGACTGGATTTCAGGGACAGGAGAAATTGAAATTTGAAAGGGGAAGGGATGATATTGATTGAGGGTGAGTGAGTTTGTTGTGATACGGGGAAGAAGGTTTTTTTTTTTTTTTTTTTTTGGTTATTTATTCAATGTTTTTTTATTCATTTTATCAGTGTAAAATAGAATCGTATAGATACAATACATTGTCGTATACTTTAAGTAATGTGTATGTAGTTCGTCTTGAAAATATATATTAAGATAGGAAGAATAGGTCTACTCTTGACTTTTATTGATACACTATAATCTAAATTGTAAAATTGTATGATTCAGTTTTATTCGACTTAATAAAATTAAAAAGAAATGAATGAGATGTCAAAAGTCAAAACACCGTTTTATGTTATATGATTAGAGGTTGATTGTTCAAAACGAAGGTTTTAAGTCGGTGTGTTGCGAGGAGTTTAAATAAGTATTTTTAGTAAGGAGAGATGGAATATGTGTCGCAAAATCAAAATAAGAATTTATTTTTATATTTGACACACATATACATACCACAAAGTCACAAATTCTTACAAACACACATACAATCACATCCAAAACGCACACATGCACATACAATCACACACAACCACAAACATATACACATTTATAGCATGAAATAAAAAAAATGAAAAAAAAAAAAATAAACACATACAATCACACACAACCACAAACATATACACATTTATAGCATTAAATGAAAAAAAAATGAAAAAAATATATTATTTAGTAAGTTATTTGTATTTTAAGTCCGGTATCTACAAATATTATTTTAATCCAACAATGCGGAAATCATTAGGTAGAATGATGTGTAATCACGTCGGATCATTCTCTTTTTGTATCGGAAGTATCTAAAACCAAAAACATATATGTAAACACAACGTTTAGTGCGCTTCCCAAAAATACCACATACAACATACATAAGTATAACATCACGTGGCTGTGTCGGGTCCGTATCAACCCCCGAGTCCATATCAACCCCACATAACAGCAAGTAGTGTATCGGGTCCGTATCAACCCCCAGGACCGTATCAACCCCAAGTCCATAATGACTCCGAGCATAGATTGGCTCCATGCATATATCATACAATCGCATCAGTAATAATCACATAACCACATACATCCTACACATACGATTTAGTGGGTCGGCATTGGTACATTCGACCCACTAGTGTGGTAAGAAGACTCACCTCTAACTAAAGATAACTGAATCGCACACTCAAGCTGCAGCTAACATGGCTCCTCACACTAATCATAACCCAATAACCACCCTAATTAATAATCGGGAATTAATCCATAAATGAAGGTCTAATTCATCCTTTATTTATCTAAGGGCAGAAGACCATTTTTCCCTTTCCATTCATGACCCAACTAGCCAAAGCCCAAAATCCCTAAGGGCCCAAGGCCCAAAAGTGGCCCAAAAGGTTTTCCAAGAGTACGTCCGCCGTACTCCTTGCTACACCCAATGTACAACTCGATCTCGAAGGGGTTACGGGGCATCAGCCCACTACGCTCAGCGTACAGAGAATTACGCCCAACATAATACCCTTAAGTCCAGACTCTCAAATAAGGTCTTAATGCTTAAGGACTTAACGTCCAAACTTTAGATCTAAGCCTAATAAACGTTTAAAATCCTAAAGTTGCAACCTTTATGCCTTTGCATGGCTACAAGGAGCTCAAAACCAAAACCCTAACTCATATTACCAACTAAAACTCCATACCTCTTGCATGGAAGAAAAATAAGGAGCAAGCTAGCATTTTTATGACATTGAACACTCTAACATGCTTGAAAGGACAATTCAAATGCTCTGGGATAGACAATACTCAAGAGACCAAGGTTAACGGGACAAAAAGGTCATAACATGCACCCTAACAAGATCTAGCAAAGCAAGCATCAAGATTTGAACTTTATACCTCCTAAAGATGCACAAGGATGAAAAGAATCTAGATCCAAAAGCTTGAGTGAAACACCACCTCTTCAAGGATCTTCCTTTACCACCAAGAACACTAAAATAACACTCAAGTGCTTCAAAACTTGCACACAAGAATTAGGGTTTCGAGATGATGGCTAAGAGGGATGGAGGCTGGAGGTAAGAAAGGGTCTAAGGCCATAAAGTTATTTCAATAGGGTCCAAACCCTAAAAATTAGGGTTTTCCCTCTGCATGATTATGCCCAGCGTACGCATGCGTACGCCCAACGTATGCGAGGGAATACACATCCATATTTAAGGACCTACACTCGGCGTACCTATCTCGTACGCCCAACGCAGGGACCAATTTTGCAACTTTTAAGGAAACAATGCTAAAATTAAAGTACCTAGAATATTGGCGTAAAATATCTCCCCCACTTGAATCAAACTTTGTCCTCGAAGTCCGCTACAACAAACAAGTTTAGGTAATTCTCCCTCATCTCAACCTCCGGTTCCCACGTCCACTCTAAACCCTTTCGGTGTTGCCATTCCACCTTCACCAGGTTCACCACTTTATTACGCAGGGTCTTGGTCTTTTGGTCGAGGATTGCAATCGGCCTTTCCACATAATTTAGGCGCTCATCGACCTGAATATCATCTGAAGAAATCACCGTCGAATCATCATCTACACACTTCCGCAAATGATAGAATGGTAGGTGTTATGGATCTGACTGAGCTTATCGGGCAAATCCAGCCGGTATGCAGCCTTGCCCACCCGAGCGATAATTTTGAAGGGACCAATAAACCGGGGCCCCAGCTTGCTTCGCTTCTGAAACTGGATGACACCTTTCCAAGGTGAAACCTTCAGAAGCACCAAACCCCCACATGAAATTCGAGGTCTGAACGTCGCCGGTCTGCATAAATTTTTTGTCGACTTTACGTGACTCACAACCTGTCGCGCACTTGCTTAATTAACTCAGTGGTCTTGAGTACCACTTCAGTACTCCCCATGACCCGATGTCTGACCTTTCCCCAACAAACTGGGGTCATACACCTCCTCCCATACAACATCTCGAAGGGTGGTCGACCAATACTAGCATGATAACTGTTATTGTAGGAGAACTTGGCCAGTGGAAGATACGAATCCCAAATCCCGCCAAAATCTAACATACACGCCTAGAGCATATCTTCGAGCGTCTGAATCGTCCACTCACTTTGTCCATTGGTATGGGGGCGATATGTTGTACTGAAATGCAGCCGATTACCCAAATCCTCATGAAACTTCTCCCAGAACCTGGAGGTGAAACGAACATCTTAGTCTGAAACCATCGAAACTGGCACTCCATGCCGAACCACCACCTCTCTAATATAAATATCAACCAGCTTCTCAACGGATATACTCTCAGCAATCCGTATGAAGTGTGCACTCTTGGTTAATCTATCAACAATGACCCAGATAGAATCAACTCCATGTGCCGTCCTTGGCAACTTTGTGATCAAATCCATGGTGATCTCCTCCCATTTATACATGGTAATGGGTAAAGACTATATCTTGTCGTGGGGTCTCTAATGTTCGGCCTTGACTTTCAGACAAGTCAAGCATCGTTCTACAAACCATGCTACCTCCATCTTCATGTAAGGCGACCAATAGCTCAACTTTAGATCCTTATACATCTCTGTGGCCCCTGGATGTATCAAAAACTTTGACTTATGAGCCTCTTCTAGAACTGTCTGTCTCACCCCACCAGTATTTGGAACCCAAACTCTACCACACTTAGTCAATAAACCCCAACTATCTCTGAAAAATAAAGGAATCTGCCCCTTGATCCGCTCTGTCTTCTAATTCTCCTTTCTCAATCCCTCCACCTAGGCCTTCTTGATCAAATCTAACAAAGGAGAAATGATAACCATGCTCAGACATATATGATCGATAGGTGCACTCATAGCGTTACGACTCAGGGCATCGGCCACCACATTGGCATTCCTAGGGTGGTATAGGATCTCACAATCATAATCCTTTACCACATCCAACCATCTCCGCTGCCACATATTTAAATTCGGCTGATCCATCAGGTACCTCAAGCTCTTGTGGTCAGTGTAGATAGTACACCTAACCCCATACAGATAGTGCCTCCAAATCTTGAGGGCAAAAACCACAACCCCCAACTCCAAATCATGCGTAGGGTAATTCGCCTCATGAGGCTTCAGCTGCCTCGAAGCGTAAGCAATCACATGTCATCTCTGCATAAGAACAGTACCCAAAACCAATATAGAGGCATCACAATAAACCATCAAATCATCCATTCCCTCGGGAAGCATGAGAATTGGGGCCTCGCCCAATCTCTGCCTCAATGTCTCAAAAGCCAACTGCTGATCGGGCCCCCACCGAAAAGTAACATTCTTCTTCGTGAAGCGGGTCAATGACACAACAATCTTGGAGAAATCCTGGATAAATCTCCAAGAATATCCTGCATGACCTAGGAAGCTCGGAATCTCAGATGGGGTTCTCGGAACCTCTCATCACATCATGGACTCGATCTTGGCCGGATCGACCAATATACCCTTCCGGTTGATGGTGTGCCCCAAAAACTGCACATCGCGCAACCAAAATTCACATTTGGAGAACTTGGCATACAACCTCTCCCTCCTCGAGGTCTCCAATACCTTCCGCAAATGATCATTATGTTGCTCCTTGGTCTTGGAGTAGACTAGAATATCATCAATAAACACGATCACCGACCGATCCAACATCGGTCTGCATACTTAGTTCATGAGATCCATGAACGTCATCGATGCGTTGGTGAACTCGAATGGCATCACCACAAATTCGTAATGACCATAACGAGTCCTAAAAGCCTTTTTCTACACATCATCATCCCGGAACCTCATTTGATGATAACTGGATCTCAAATCAATCTTGGAAAACCAAGATGCACTATAAAGTTTGTCAAATAATTATTCGATACTCGGAAGTGGGTATCGTTTCTTCACCGTTAGCTTATTCCACTCCCGATTGTCAATGCACATCCTATGTGATCCATCCTTCTTCTTCACGAATAGGATTGGTGCTCCCCATGGCGAACTACTCGATCAGATAAACCCCTTGTCTAGCAACTCTTGAAGCTGCGTAGACA